GCTGCTCAGGACTGTAAACACGCTGGTCAATAGGTGCTCACCTTATGACGAGTCACAGTACACAGGTATTTCTGTTTGTCAGATTGGCGGAACTTCAGTACCCCAAGCCATGCAATTACTGAATGGGTAGGGAAGGGGGTGGGGGTTTAAGCACTTTTATGGAACCCGAGAATCCCAACATCATTAAAAATGTAAAAAAAAAGTATCCGAACTTTTATCTCATGCTTATGAATTTTTGAAAAATTGCTTAGCCGATGTATATCAATCAACAGTTCACTAAACAGCAAGTTGCGTCTAAACATTCACATAAAAAAAACCTGCTAAAATTGGCGTAATGAAAAGCAAATCTTCTAATTTCATTTTTGTTCTCTCTTTTTTTTTTTATTTTAATGCACCTCTAACAATGCAGGTATTTTACTCACTCGTGCTGCACAAGGGTTTAACGGTCAAACTGCACCAGGCGCATTCATGTGGTCGGGTGACGCTGAGCAACTTGGGCTCTCCCGTGAGCACCACGGCGTCTACGTTTTTTAAGGGTGCCATACACTAGAAATACGGTGGGGTACATTTATCGTTGACTAAATCTAATAAGGTGCGTCATTAGGTATGGTGAACAGTTGCGTCACATACGAGAACGTGAGAACTATTACGCCTACGGTCGCTTTAAATAGCACCCTACAAGTAAGATAAGGTAGCCACTACAAACATACACGAGTAGTAACGCGTTGATGAAACCCTTATAGCATGTTGTGTCAATCTATGTGGAAAAGTGGACCGCAGCAACGCTAGAGACGGGTACACTAGTAAACATAAATATATAGGTAATGATGACTATTTATGGGGGACGGAGTGGTCTAGCGGTAGAAAGCTGGACTGCTAACACGTAAGTCTCGAGTTCGAATCCGTGTTCAAGTCAGTAGACCGTCCCTGAGTCCACCCAACTCTGATGGGTACCTAACTCACGTTAGTGCTTAAACCCCCCACCACCTTCCCTACCCATTCAGTAATTGCAGGGCTTGCGGTACTACACTATCTATTCATATGCCGAGGTCACAGAAAGAAGTGAACTCTGATTCACGTGCCCCATAGACCGTCAGGTTTGAAAGGGAAACTTACTTACTTTACTATGACTATTTATGCACATACGCATATAATTATATATATATATATATATATATATATATATATATATATATATATATATATATATATATATATATATAAGTACTGAACTCTCTCTTAAGAAGATAGCCTGCCTTTTTCACTGTTTGCACATGTGTCCTTACAGGTGGGGTCTTCTACCTGCAGGCAGGTGATAGACTACAGGTGTCGACCTGGGGACCAGACAGTTACTTGAACTACAGTGGAGGCGGGGACTTGGGGTTGTTTTTGTTGCACAAAATGGAAGCTTGATCCTTCTATATTACTTATTTCAAGTATTTCATTACATCAGTGTATTTAACATTAAGAATGTATGAACTGTGTAAATTCTTTCTCTCACAAATTTGGCGTCAAGAAATGTGAAATTTATCTCTGAGTATTTCAAGAAACCTCTCACTATGATTAAAATCTGGTTATGTTAATTAACAAGTGGCCTTAATTTTTTTTTTTTCATATTATACTGTACAGGTAACTTTTTCTTCAATTTTTTATCTCCTGCCATGTGTAATTTTATGAAAAGTGTTTCCAATTTCAAGGATCCGTTGTCACCACGCCCGTGATGTTTACCCCATATTTAACACTACATGTTGCTTAATTGCATATAATAACAATTTTGTAGTTGTACTTCATTAAAAAATTCCCCACAACGATTAATTGCGCATAATAATCTTTTTTTTTAAATTAATAATTTAAAGACGCTAATATGTAAAATAGAATGTAATAAATAATTTTTTTCACGAAATACGACAAAGTAAATCTGTATTAATTTAAACAGTTTGAACTTGAACAATTTTGTGTTTCGCATTTTACCTTGCGTTTCTATCTGGCAATCAATGATATATGGCCCATATGATTTCGATACATGTCTGATTAAATTACGCTCACTAAATTTAGCATACTTTCGATATACATAAATCTTTTAGCGATAGGTAAACCGATATTTGAACATGAGTCTTATTATTGTTAACATTAGTTACATTTTAAAAGAAAAATTTGCTGAAGTGATTTTAACTTCAGTTATTGCTTGCTTAACAGCCAACCCCATTTTTTTGTTGGTGGATTTTCTTTTTTCACGTACAATGCTAAAAAAATTATATTCAAATTACAGCTGATATTTATAATTGAATACCTAAATATTATTAAATTAAAAGAAAGATTTGTATCACTGCTTGAAGGTGTTATCTTTATTTGAAGAATAAAATTTTAAAGGTAAACTTCAAATTCCGAGATTTGTGTTTACCATCTTCTGCTACAAAATAACCTGAAAAGAAACGAAATTATTATAATGTAAAATCTAAACTATCCCTGACTTTTTAAGAATCTGAAACCACCACATGTTACTAAAAATTTCTCGGACAAAGACTTGATTGCGCGTGGATTTAAAAGACGGTAGAACTAGATCTAATGCTGTGTTGGTGGTTCAATTATCATTCACTCAATAGTAAACTACATAGGCTAAGACCCACTCACCTTTACAAATATCCACAGCATCTACAAAACGAACTAGGAAATAGTTTTGACAACTAATTACAAATTGAAGTTTACTAGATATACGTAACTACCAGAGGCGTAAATAGTTCATGGTGGGTGGGGTGGCCGCCGCGGGCAAAGACCCTAAGGGGGCGATAAACGGGGTAAGAATAATTGAAAACTAAACTGTTTTCAATTTTCTGACGACATAATAATAACTACCAATGGATATTGATTTGTGAAATAGTGGGGGGGGGGGGGGGTCGCCGATGTGACGCATATTTGATAGTTCGCCCAGGGCGTCGGAAAGAGTTGCTACCCCTCTGGTAACTATAGCATATGTTCTCCCCATCCGTCCCTGGCCTATATGCCTGAGCCTGTGAGAAAATACTTACAGCATTCATGATTTCATTAGTTCTTTACTTCCTACTAAGATTCCCAGTCTTGGCTTGAAGTGCTTGTGGGATGCGAAAAGCAGGTTCAACCGTCGTGGTTGGATTATCTGCCCCGAAACACACGCAAAACCAACTTGACTCCATGTCCAAGTTATTGAGCAACATGACACAGATTCCTATGGAGTCGCCGTTGGCTTGACAGTGCTTGTTACAGCAAGGCCATTCCACTTCCGAGTTGGATTCATTGTACCTGTAGACGTGAAAATGTTAGGAATATTCTACAGACTTATCGACTCTTAGAGCAAATGAAGTAGAGCTCATATGTTTCTTGACCTTTGAATATGAAGGGATAGCGAGATCAGCCGGAAGCATAGTGGCCTGTACTTTCGGCAACTTGAGCCTCGTTCGAATTAATCAACCATGAGCTTTTTGCCGACTCGACCACGCCTCCAACACAATTAAGCGTTACGTGTCAACTGGTTATGCGCCATTGAGGCCATTGACTCCGCTTTCAGCCTTCCATAGGCTTTGTCCAACCAAGAACAAACTACAAGGCAGCAGTTGTTTAATTTTGGAGTTGTCTCTCCTAACGAGCCTCATCTGCCCGAGGGTTCGAACTCGAGACTTTTCGGTATAGCAACCATGAGCTTTACCGACTCGACCACGCCGACCCCTCAATAATCTACTAAAAAGCAACGTAAATGGACAGAATGATATATCTAATTGTTTCTAAGTAAAAAAAAAAAAATTTTGTAAGCTTGATTCTGTACAGTAATGATCCATAATCTCATGCATAAAGTTACATTAGCATATTTTATCTGTATTAAAAAAAGCGAGGATCTACTTCTAGAAATACTTACGGCTGGCACAAAGGTTCAGTTGATTGTAAGGTGTAGTATCGCGTATCTGCTGCTGTAGTGTTTTGGTCAGATGGCGTTGCAGGTGTTGTACTGACAGGTATAAGGGGCACGCAGATACAGATGGCCCTAATGGTGTTTGTGGTATTGTCGTAGACAGCTACATCACAAGTTCCGCGCGTGTAGTTATGACCTACACAAAACTCATCGCAATCAGGAAAGATAACTGTGTCACTGTACGTTGTTGAACTGGGAAATTCAAGTAGACTACTATTAAAATACCTAAGACATAAAGTATAGATCTATTTAAAATTAATTATATAAGCTGGTTACATGGTTACAACCGTGGTGTAACGATAATGTCACATCCTAGGGCCGACACATCACTGTAACCTTAAACCTTCTAGCACTAACTTTGACCAAAACTGCATACAATAATCTTTTATGGGACGGTTTTTTTAGCGTAATTTCCATACTGGGGGATTGCGATTATTAACTCGTCATTTCTGGATGGATGTGTGGATGTGTGTCCGCAGCTTTAAGTCATATCTCCTCCTCAACGAAGCAATATCGAGGACTAGTTCAAAAAACAAATATGTTAAGCAAGTTCCGAGGATGAACATAGGCCAAAAAAATTCCCGGAATTCCTTCCTGGATTTCCCGGAAAAGCCAAAAAAAAAACTCGAAAAACTGCAGTTTTTTGCCCATATCTCGGCAACCAGACCACTTAGCGACTTGAAACATTTACAAATCGATTCCTGCCATAATTTAAAACAATAATGCCGAAGAAAGTTTTCAAAAATATTTCGTTCGGTCACAAAAAAAATTTTTAAATTACATAAACACCTACAAACCGATCGTTCTCCTAGCTTTAACGCACCCCATATCTATTTTTAGATAACATAAGGAAATTGCGCTTAAATTGTCACAGACTTTTTATCAGAGGCGTAGCTAGGGGAGGGCGGGGAGGGCGGCCGCCCCGGGCGCCGACCCTAAGGGGGGCGCCAAAAAGGGTAGAAAAAAAAATAAAAGCTAATTTTAAGCTGCAGTTTTGAATTATAAACAGTCACAGTAAAGAAATTTAACGGCTAAGAGCCTTTGCATACTGATTTAACTGTTTTCTACCTTGATTGTGTAACTGTAAAACGTATATCTTTAAGAAACAGTGACTGGAAAAACCGCTTTCCACCTTTCCTAGATGAGGAGGGGGGGGGGCGCTTTTTCGAAGACTAAAATCGAAAAAATTCACACCGGATTAAAGAATAAATAACTGATATCTCTCAGAAAAGAAACCCATTGAACTAAAGCGTATTTTACGATTGTGTAACATAAAAAGAGTTAGTGGCGTTTAAAATCCGCTCTACCATTTTTGCCCAAGATGGAGGGGCGCTTTTTCACTAACAAAAATCGCAGGATTTCTACTCTTTTAACACTTAGAAAAGAAATCAATTGTATTAACACTTTAATGGACGATTTCACTACCCAGTTTTGCTAAGCAATAACGCGACTAGTTCTTTGTACGATTCTTACGATTCTCTTAACTTGATCGTGATAGATCAGATACTTTTACTTGATTGCATTACATCTTGCCTGGATCACTGCATTACAGAGAAATAAATATAACGGATTCTTGTATCGCTATCCGATCAGTAAAATAGCAGACTGACGGAGCGGGTGGATGGGAAGCGACACTCGTTGCCAACATTGTAAGAGAGAAGAAAATTAGTATATTGTACTGATTATTACTTTGTTCAACCTAACTGATTATTCAAAATTGCAATATTGGCCTACTATTATCGAAATTGTTCTAAAAACACGACCAAAAGTAGACCAAATAAGGCTTGCACCTTCTACAAATTACACTCTAAAGCAGTGGTTCTTACTTGATATGCGCAATCACTGAACCCTCCTTAATAGTTGTATCGTCCACAATTACAAAATCCGATCGTGAATCCTATGAGTCGGGTGTGTGTCTTGACCTCCGCGGAAGCCCTAAGACTGAATTAACGAACCTCTCGGGTTCGATGGAGCCCAATGTTCTAAGCTCTTTTGATTTTCTACTTTTTATTCGTTTCGGCATCTTAAGGGGAATTTGATTGGCGTCCAGTGAAGTTTTAGGGAACGACAATCAGTGTAATTGTTAATTTTTTTCCAGACTGTCGCACACACAAACACACACGCATATATATATATATATATATATATATATATATATATATATATATATATATGTATATATATATATATATATATATATATATATATATATATATATATATGGGGGGCGCCAAACTGAAAGTTCGCCCCGGGCGCCGGGAGGCGTCGCTACGCCTCTGCTTTTTATTAACTTCTTTTAATCAGTATTTCAAAAATATTGAATTATTGTTTAAAAAATCGAAAGTCATTGCTTCATTCAGTGCTCAAAAACTAAACCATATTAAAAAAAAATTATAAAAACGTTAGGACTTGAGATGTGAAAGTCTACACGCACATCATCGAGCGATCGCTCATTCAGTTATCTCTACCTTTTTTTTTATTGAAAATAGTAATCTTTAAATTAACTTTTAATGCATTACTTAAACTTCGATATTCTTGCGTTGTCACTGGAGACTACTTTTCCTAGACATTTAGAAAGAAATCACTGTAGTAAAATGGTGGATCGAAACAGATTTACAAGCTCTGCCACACGTCCACAGACAGACAAACAAAAAGACACGGTGAGCTACGTAGTAGATAATAAAAGTTAACCTACACAACACACTGTTCTGTCATTTCTACTCTGACGATGGTGTCAAAAATAAGGTCCGAATCCAGAGCGTCTAAAGCTTCATTCGGCCATTCTAGCGCATCGAGCGAGTCGTCACCACTGTATGTCGTGGTCGGTTCTGTTGTATACGTTCTGGGCGTTGGTGATGATGTGCTTGTGCCTGGTGTAGTGGTAGGGGATGGTGTGGTACTTGAGGTTGGTGTGGTACTAGAGGTTGGTGTGGTACTTGAGGTTGGTGTGGTACTTGAGGTTGGTGTGGTACTTGTGGTTGGTGTGGTACTTGATGTTGGTGTGGTACTAGAAATTGGTGTGGTACTAGAGGTTTGTGTGGTACTTGAAATTGGTGTGGTACTAGAGGTTTGTGTGGTACTTGAAATTGGTGTGGTACTTGAGGTTGGTGTGGTACTAGAAATTGGTGTGGTACTAGAGGTTGGTGTGGTACTTGATGTTGGTGTGGTACTAGAGGTTGGTCTGGTACTAGAGGTTGGTGTGGTACTAGAGGTTGGTGTGGTACTTGAGGTTAGTGTGGTACTTGTGGTTGGTGTGGTACTTGAGGTTAGTGTGGTACTTGTGGTTGGTGTGGTACTTGATGTTGGTGTGGTACTAGAAATTGGTGTGGAACTTGTGGTTGGTGTAGTACTTGACGATGATGTAGTGCTTGTTGTAGTAGTACTGGTCGTTGATGTAGTGCTTGTTGTAGTAGTGCTAGTCGTCGATGTCGCTTCACATTTACAAAACAAAAATGGAACTGGAATGGGTATTGGAAAATGAGGAATTATAGGAAGTGGTGGTGTAAAACTAACTATGCAATGTCCATTATCAGGAGCACAACAGTCTCTGCAGGCTGCATTTCCGCTGTTTGAAGAATTTAATTAAAAGTTTATTAATAGCTTTAGAAAATTTAACAATAAAGTCATTCTTTATGCATATTGATATTTAAATTATATACATATGATGATATTTATAAGTTTGTCTTTAAAAGATTATTAATATACAACTTCAAACAAAATGAGATTATTTGCGAAATTACCTAAAACAAATGGATATTGTCTAAATAACGAAAACAATGTACAGTCATTCAAATGAATTTCCAATCATTATTTTAAGTTAAAGTCACCTACAGGTAGCAAACAGTCAGAGCTTGTAAAATATTACAAGAAGTTGTAGCCTGTAGAGTCCCGAAAAAAACCACAACAAATACAGCGCCTCTGATGGCGGGAAGCAGCATTTTGAACACGACTGTTTCGACTAAAGTAGTTAGAGACAAAAAATAACAATTTAAAAATGGCCTAGGAATTATGTTAAATACATACATATATAAATACATGCACATATTTAAATAAAGCTGTATATATGCATATATATATATATATATATATATATATATATATATATATATATATATATATATATATATATATATATGTATATATATATATATATACTAGACTATCCGTTATCTAGTTAGATAACTGTGGGTTTCGAGGGTCATCCATAAATGACATCACGTCAGTCACTTATCATCACAAAATAACCAGACCCCCACATTCAAAATGACGTTTTTTTTATCTTTTAAAAACACCGATTTCGGCTGAGCATGGGTCTGACCACATTATCCCTTCATATACTGACGTCACAGGTGACCTACTCAACTCTACTTCACCTGCCCAGTGTCCCGCCAAGTCTCAGACAACATGTTTTTATCGTTTACAAAAATGATTCCGGCCGAGCATGGCTGTGACCACCCTATCCATTCATATGCTGAGGAAAAAGAAACAGATGAACTCTACTTCAACTGGCCTGTATCCCTCCAAGTTCAGATAGAAAACTTTATCATTCACATCTTAAAAAAAATGTATATTTGTTAACATTGACATGATGTGTCTAGAACCCGTGGCACCCGAATGGAAGCCTATTACACTAACATATTAGCTATCTAGACTCGTGATGTCAATGACGTTTTTTTGTGCTATATGGTAATACATTGAGTCTGCTTATGAAACTTGATTTACGCGAATAGGCCCTTAATCTAATATCTTTAAAATTAAATTTTGTCTTAAATTAACCAATTCCATAGCTAAACAAACAAAGATTTATATAAAATAATGTATGTCTGAAATAGTTTAGTATAGAAACTATTTATTATTTTGATCTAGATTGAATTATATAGATTCTACAACTGATTTGATTAAGCCGAGTTTTCTCCGTGAGTCTAGAGTCACTATTCACTATTCACTATAAGTAAAATCAATGTTCTGAACTTTTATAATTAATGTGGTTAATCAAACGATGAATAAATCAATAAATTAACTAACGCCTTTAAATAAATTTGTGATTAACAGTCTGTCTGAAAATAAAAAATTGTTCTCTACCTAAATACTATTTTACAGCTCTACACATAGTGCAGATTTTCTATTGTAACCAAACGGACAAACAAACAAAAATATTCAAACATGTAAATATATATTATATATATATATATTATATATATATATATATATATATATATATATATATATATATATATATATATATATATATATATATATATATATATATATATCAGAAGACGGTAATTAGTAGAATATGTACTTACCGAAAACGTTGTAGAAAATAAAGCTGACTTCGCTCCTTTTTATATAAATGTGCAAACATATATCACGGTAATGTTAAACAATAAATATCCGAATCAATGAAGTTTTATATTGCCTTTGCGACATAAAAAGAAACTATGTGTTTATATATATTCAATTTACATACATGTATAAAGTTTATCACATTTTTATTTATTAATTCGAGATTTCAAATAATAAATTTGTAACAAGAAACTAAATAACAAAGCGATTGGACCCGTATCCGTAACTGCTTACAATACAAATACACATACACATACGCTAACGCATACACATAGTCATAAGCATACGTGAACACATACACATACACATAAGCATTAGCCCATACATACAACTAAACTCGTAAGTGCACCTTCACATACACATGCTTATGCTTATGAACATAGACATACGCATACCCATACTTCTACGCATATGCATACACGTGCGCATACATATATCCGCACCTCCCTTTAGGGAAATGTGAAGCCAAACGAAAATCTGAAATATTTTTAGTTAGAATTCTTTTTAAATATTTATTTTACTTTAGGTATAAGGAGTATAGAGGAAGAATTGTAATTGTTCAAAACATCGCAATAGAGATTTTGACAAAGCCGATAACTCGAAAAAAGTGTTAGATTGTATGCGAAGGTTTCGGCTGCACTTTATTATGTTAGGTAGACGAAATTTCATATATACTTTAATCATCTTATAATGTGATTACTCTCAATTTTCAAGTAAGCTCCTTTCTCCGAAAGTACTACGTTACTCTATTTCGGTTTTCTAAATACCGCTAACTACAAAAACGTTTCAGTTATATATATATATATATATATATATATATATATATATATATATATATATATATATATATATATATATATATATATATATATTAGCCCCTATTTATAGATTTCTGTCAACATTATAGCTATTTCCGGTTACCGGAAGGGCTTCTGTAATCTTCTTATATTTCCTTAAATCTCATAAATCTTATTCTAAGATCCTTTAAATTTCTATAGCTCGATAGCATTGGAAGTGCTATCCCAACACTAACTGTTACATTAGATTATACAATAGAGTTTAGTGGAGCTCACAATGATATTTTTTTTCTTTCCCCTCTAGTTTCTATAATAATTTTATTACTACTGCAAAGCGGGTTTAATAAGTTTGAAGAGAGGTGTTTTACGCCCAATATTTTAGTGACGCTGTGGTGTTGTTCAAAAATGCGTATCGATTTTTTTTTTAAAAAATCTTTAAAAACGTCAACTTAAAAGAAACTGTACCTATGTTTAAATATAACAGACTTTATTACAATAACGTCCCTTTACTCCTATGTTTTAAAAATGCTAGTATGTTATAATTAAGTAATTAAACAATATAAACAAATCCATATTTTTGGGATTGAAAATGTGTTAATAGTATTGTCTACATAATAATTCTGTTAATATATATATATATATATATATATATATATATATATATATATATATATATATATATATATATATATATATATATATATATATATATATATATATATATATATATTTATATGAATGTGTATTAATATATTTTTCCTTCTATATTAAAGTATAGGTATATGTTTAAAGTTCATGCATATAGTCTGTACTGATTTTATGTCCAGTTCGTTAAATTTTTAATTGATGTTAAAAGAATACAGAAAAAGAGGCGAAAACAGCTGAGCTCACATGAGTCCGCTGGAGATGTGTGGTTGCAGCCCTTTGCTCCCCAGGGGCCACAAAGGAATGATGATGATGATGATGAAAAGAATACAATTTACAATCCGCTTTTTTAGCGACTGTCCATTATGTAAAGCAAACCAGAAAGACAATGGAGACCATTCGTTGTCGTATTAAAGTTTTATGGTTTTAGTTTTGTTTGAAGATGCAAAGTGATTGCAATAAAAAGATGTTTTAATATCATGACATATTACGTCACCATGTAAGATGTATTTAATGTCTCCATACTGGGCACCATAACGGATATTTGCTAAATAAATTTTAAAAATTGATCGAGAAAACATAAAGAATTTATTAGCTTTTGTAAAAATCGATATTAAAACCGCTCGTTTTGTAATAATAAAAAGAAATCTCGAGATTTTAATTAATCGCGACATTTAACTATTATCCTATCCGAGTCGAAATAAGTTTTTCAATCTTGTCTGTCTGTCACTGCGCATGTAAACATGATAACTTGAGTACCGTTTTGTTTTATATTGATGAAATTTCACATAGGCGGTAGTGATACTTGCTACCCCCTTCGTTTTCAATAAAGCCGATTACTTGAGTACCGCTTAAGTTAAGTGGAAGAAATGTTTAAACATACTTAGATTATTAAGAGCAAATGATAGAACGACGTTCATCCAACGCTGGATTTGGCACGCTTTCGTGTGCTTTAATCAAGTTTTTGTCTTAAGACCATTTCTTTCAGATGAAAGGCAACCGATAATTATTATTCCAAATGATGCTTAAAATACAAAAAAAATGTAATAAAAATAAGATTTTCTCGGGATCTCCTATTTATTACTAAACGAAAATTGTATGTCAATTTTTCTAAAATAACAATTTTACTTAAGAATGACCTGGAATAACATATTCAATCCTGGAAGACATGGCGACGTAGCGTGCAAGAGGAGGCCGAACGGACATGAAGGGATTTGGAGCAGCTGAATATAACGGCAGGAGACTGTGGGGAGTGGAAAGCTTTGACAGAGACCCTATGCTCCACAAGGTAAAAAAAAATGTTTTAATTAGGATGATAGAATAACCAATTAGTATAATATCATCGTCCCTTTGATAAAGGTCCCTAACTTTTGTAGCACTGGTTTTATCAAACGAGACCAGTTTTTAGCGCAATTTCCATTCTGGAGAATTGCGTTTATTAACCCGTCATTTCTGGATGGATGAATGGATGGATGAATGTGTGTCCGCAGCTTTAAGTCGTATCTCCTCCTCAACGAAGCAATATCGAGGACTAGTTCCAAAAGCAATTATGTTAAACAAGTTACGAGGATGAACATAGGCCATAAAAATTCCGGTTTCTTTCATGGATTTCCCGGAAAAGCCAAAAAACCTCGAAAAAATGCAGTTTTCGGCCCATATCTCGGCAACCAGACCACTTAGCGACTTGAAACATGTACCAATCGATTCCTGCCATAATTTAGAACAATATTGCCAAAGAAAGTTTTTAAAAATATCCTTTCGTTCGGTCACAA